CCCCTCCTTAGTGGCCTGACCGTCACGTTCTGGGTGGTGGACCCGTTAGTGTATTTGTTTTCTGCACGAAGAAATCGAGGCACGGAGAAACTACAGCCACACAGGAAGGAAGCAGCAGATCTGGAATAGTTGGTTGGTTGTGTGTTCCGACTCATAGCGACCCTGTGTAGGGCTCCAAGGGAGTCCTGGCGTGGCGCTGTGGGTTCATGCGCTAGACTGCAAAGTTGGTGTGTACTGCAAGGTCAGCAGTTCAAGCTCACCAGCCGCTCCTCAGAAACCTTATATAGGGTCGCTATGGGTCAGAACCGATTCCATGGCACTTAACAGCAGTCTTTACCGGAGCAGAAAGCATTATCTTTCTCCCGCGGAGCTGTTGGTGAATTAAAACTGCTGACCTTGAGGGTAGCAGCCCAGTGCGTAAACCCTCGTACCACCAGAGCCGGCCCCAGAAGAGCTGAGAATGAAAACCTGCTTTTAAACACATGCATCTAATTTATTAGATGAAGAAATAAATCTATGGGTCAATCCAATAATGTTTTCTGGTGGGATCCACCAGTGATCTTTGCATAAGAGTGGGAAAGGAAGCTAGGGGAGTCTGGCTGCGGGGTGGTGTGGAGGGGTGGACTAGAAAGGTGAGAAAACAAGTTTTACAAAACTGAGCGCTCACGACCGACTGGTGAGTTTATTCTGACTCAGAGCGACCCAGTAAGAGTCTATGGTCAGAGTCCATACAGAAGCTGAAGGTCGAATCTTTCTCCCTACATCCGCTTTGAACCGCGGACATTTTGATTAACCCCTGCAACGACCAGGATTCACTTCTAACTCAAGACGGTGCACTTTTTCAGTGTTTTAAAATAACAGGTTGCCTGAAGCTCTGTGCTCGCTCTGAAGCCTGCTTGTTCCCCAGGTCTTACATCCGGGCTGGATTTCTCTTACTTGTCCCCTGAACCTGCTGTAATTGCAGGCCAGCCTGGGTGCTTGTAAGAAAGTAGCCCTTCTAGCTGGCATTTACCTTCTCTGGCTGGCAGATGGACTTTCTGTGATAGAACCAGTTTTGTGGGCAGATGTGATTCTGTCCATATGTGGGACACCTGGAGGTCACGCCCACCCCTTTGGGGTCGGCCTCAAGGGCATCCTTGGGGTGGGTGAAGAAACGGCAGTGGTTTTACTCTTCCTGGGGCCATACTGGAAGATTCCCGGAACCTGAGCTTTTTAGCCATAGCTGCCTTAGGAGACTGGCCTACAAACTCTTCTTGAGAGAGGTGTGGAACTATTGAAATCCAGCTGGAGCTGCGCCTTTTCGTCTCCCTGCCCTCCCCCACATAGTGACACCTGCTGACCCTCTAGCCCCCTAGGCTTGTACCTGTCACTTCTCTGATGGAGAGAGTAGGGTAGCATTTGCAGGAGGCCTCCTCATTAGCCCCTGTGGGTTTGGACTTAATGTCATTTCAGAGCAGGTTGGAAACTGGGTTTTTTTTTAATAGACAGTAGAGGGTAAAGTGTATATATATATATCGAGTCCTGGTGTGGCACTGTGGGCTAATGCGTCAGACTGCAAAGTCGTTTGAACTGCAAGGTCAGTGGTTCAAGCTCACCAGCCGCTCCTTGGAAACCCTATACAGGGTTGCTATGGAAACCCTATACAGGAGTCCGAATCGACTCCTCTTTTTCATGCCTTTTCTTGCTGTGTAGAAACTCTTTTGAGAGTGCAGATCCATTTTTCTGCGGAAACCCTGTTTTAGGAGGGACAGAGCACTCTGGTGTGGAAGCTCCCCGCACACATACAGTGGCAGGGGCCAGTGATGTGGCTTTCATGCCCTTGGGAACGAGAGGGTCCTCATGGTTCCAGTGGGGCTTCCTGAGACCTGGGCTGCACCTCCTTTTTTTTTTTTTAAATGTTTTATTGTGAATTATATGATAGTTTACATGAGAGAACTTTAGTTTTACATTCATTCT